TCCACTGACATTTTAAACAATGCCTGCGAGGGGCCCAGCTGCACCTCCCCCACGCGGGGATAGGTGCGGGCGGGAGGACGGCGCTGCCAGCGTGCGTGCGGCGCAACGAGCAACAACGAAAACATCTGTCTGTGGTCCTGCGACCTCTTGAGTGATGATTCATGGAGCAGGAGGTCTGGCCAGAGCAGACCTACAACAAAGATCAACTGTCCGCGAGGCTTTCCGTGCAAAGCCGTCCCTGCAGGGAAGGGCAGAGGCTGCAGCCGGTTCCCTCTCCGGCCGCCTGCACCCCTCCAAGAGCATCCAGGACTCTGCCCTACCAACACCAACACGGCAAGTCACCTAAACCCCATGGTGGCAAAAATAAGTAGGGTCCTGAGGCTGGATGCAAAGCAAACCCCCCTCGGTACGTCCCCGGACTCCCCCGCGCCCGCCCCACCAGGAGCCCCGCGGCGTGAGTCACGCCAGCGGCTGCACGGGATCATCCAGACGTTCAACAAAGGCATATGTTGAATGTTCTAGAAAGAAGAGGCAGATTGGAGGCCAAAAAAAAAAAAATCAGTATAAACTTCAAGCAGAACATTTACAGACGCAGCATCGGTATGAGCTCCAGTTTTTATTTGTATTGAATGGACAGGGGACAGACACAAACAGTAACCGACCGAGTCTAAATGAGCTTTACCTTGATACAGTGTTTAATGCGCATGACGAACGCTGGGTTTTAGGGCACATCATTACCAGTTGCTCAGTTTGGAAGGATTTAGCTTCACGAACGGACAAAAGCATCGACAGCAGAGCCCAGAACTGCTGCTGACGCTTCTCAGCCGCAGCCGGAGCCGCCCCGTCCTGCTCACACCCTGCTGCCCGTGCTGGGAACGAGCAGGAGCACTGGACACATCTGCTCCCTACCCCTCCCCCCTTGCTCTTACTGTATTCTTCCAAATCAATGATTAACTGGATTCAGACTTTTTTTTCTTTTCCTTTTTACTGTTGGCTCCGTAACCCGTCCATCGTACACCTGCACACAGGAGATCAATACCGAGGAGTCCGACAGAGAGCAGCAGGAGGGGGTTTGATCCCATTACAGTTTTGCTGCCACTGAGACAAAAAAAAGCACTTCATAAAAACAAAACTTCAAAGCAATTCAAGCAGTCGGCTCTTCCCCGACCCCTCTCCAAACTGGTTTTATCGTGATGCCGATACGCACCCTGTCTGCACGACAGACTTCGCTGAATCTCACCCTGAACTGAAACTACAGCTACTTTCATTTTTTTTTCCTTAAATGCGCTGATATCCATACTCAATGATTTAATTTCATATAACTTTCATGGTTTTTTTCTGCAATTCTGAGATGAAAAGGAATAATCTCTTACCACATTTTAAAACCTGGATTGCTGCCAGTTTCCTTAAACCAGCTCCAATTTGTGCCAATTCAGTCATTTTTAATTACCAAGTATTTATTTTTCTGCTTATACTACTTTTAAAACCACAGTTCAAACAGATACAATTACAAATTCTCTTTCTCTATCCTAAGATCCATTCTTATTAAGAACCGAGTGCTTACACAGAGACATTTGCATTTCCTCCTGGTGTTCCAAAGTGCCTTACACAAAACTTGCAATTAAATTTAATCATTAAACACGGCACTACATTGGGTCGTATACTTAGGTAATGATAGCCTACTTTCCTCAAAATTAAAAAATAACAAGCAAAATAAGTAACGCGTGAGAAAGCAAACATGTTCTAATATCAAATTAAGGTCGTAGAAGACAATTAAATAATAACCAAGTACAGAGCGTGCACACTGAACGTGCTCACTGCGCTGCGGGTGTTGTTGGAGCCGCCCAGCCCCACCAGAACCCGGCTGGTAAAGCCTCTGCCTGGCTCGGCACTATCGGAGGTTTCACACGAGCATCCGCTATCAATTGTTCACGGCTTCTAACGCCGCCCAGGTTATCTCCCAGCGACGCCGCGCCGGGGCAGGGGGAACCTCAACGTTCCAGAAGCCCTGAACACGACTTCCCCGGATTATGATCGGATTTCTGAAGCAAGCAGAGCAGGAACAAAATAAACAAACACACCTCAATGAAAACATAATCGCTGACAAAGGGTAAGGACCAAGGTGCCGCAGGAGGGAAGCGGAACATAGAGCCGCTGCGTTGGGATGGACACACGGGCTCAGGCAGCGGCGGGCGGCTTTTGGTCTGTGCCAGAAGCGGGACTCGTCCCGTGCGCTTGGGGCAGATCAGAGTCACTGCACCATACATCCTGCCAGAGAGCTGCCGTCAGGGCAGAACCAGCCCAGGGGCAATGGCTTTGATCCTGCCAACACTCTGTGCAGAAACTGGATGCTGAGCTTCAGGTGAGGGAATCGGCTGCGAAAAAATGGGGCTGCTGAGCATCTGTGCTGGTGCCAGCGCTCCTGGCTCTTCCCACAGAGCCATCCCCGCAGCTCCCAGGTCCAGGGATCATCAATATGCAGAATACAGCTGATGGCCCATCTGAGACAGATCAGATGGAGGCAGACAGAAATGAACTTTAGCACTGATTTAGTAACTGTACAGAGAGATGAAATTCTGAGGTTATTCAAGTCCTAATTCTGCATTTTGTCAACAAAATTTCTCCTTGATGCTACTCAGCACAGGTTGGAGCTCTTTACAACAGACAGTCTCTGTCCTTTAAGATCATTTTCTGATGAAGTGACTACTACGAACCGTAAGGGTGGGTATTTTAAAACCCAAGAATGTGCGAAGAACTGTAAGTGAAGGAAGATTTTCTCACTTAAGTCTCAGGCAAGGTTAAGGGAAGAACTCTCTCCAGCTGAAAAGTAATTTTCAGGAGGAAGTCAGGGGCTGTTGTTATTTGTGAGAAAGGAACAAAGAGATGACAGCACACAATTTCCTAAATTTACAGAATTGTGTCAGAAATTCACATTTAGTAAAAGAAATCTGAATTGCATAAAAGCAAGAATGTTTTGGTGTGTACTTTGCCAAATTAATTTAGGAAAATGTTACAAATTCCTTACGTTATTTTTAACAAGCAGAAGTCAAAGTGCACGAAGGGGAAGAGTACATACCCACACTAAGGGAGCAAGAGAACAATCCCTAGCACAAGAACACCCCACAGTACAGCTACACCTACTGGCCCTCGGTGCGAAATCTCCAGATCACTGTCCTCACTGTAACATGCAGATGGATTACGTATAGAAGTCAGGAGCACGAGGTCTTTTTCTGGAAGCAAACCACATTCCTGCAGAAAAGCCTCCAGGTCTACAGCAAAAAAATCTTCTCCAAGCTGGTCAGTGATCCGCACAAAGTTGCCGATGAGCTCACCTGCCTTATAGATCAGCAGAGCCGGCAGAGCGTTGTTAGTAAAGCGCGTGCTCGCACCGATCAGCGAACTCTTCACTCTGCAAAATTTAACTGTTGGGTACTCAGCAGCCAGGCAGATCATGCAGCCGTTCAGGGATTCGGTGCCAGGGATATCATCCTCGTAAATATGGATCATGATCAGTGTGCTCTTATGCTCTTTATCAACCGTGTCCAAAAACGCTTCCCCACTGGTAATCTCAAAAACCTGCTTAAACTGCTGCCCGCTGTACAGCTGCTGCCTCATCTCCTCCATTCGCTGCTTCCTGTATCGCTGCAAGAACTCCTCATCGTCTTCATCGTTGTGGATCATGTTATACTCCTGTAACGTCATCTAAAAAACACAAACAAAGGTACACGAAAAAGAGGGGAAGGTCTGCATCGCTATATAGGTCACTTACATAATGAGAATTGACATCAAGAGGATTAATGTGGGTCACTCATCTTTAACAACAGCAAATGCAACCCAGGAAGGCTCAAGCACCCTCTGTATCACACCCCATTCTGATCGAATCAGAAGCCATGTCCGGTGGGAGCAGCGATTTCAGCCTTGGCTATTCCAGTTTCCACAAGCTGCACCGATAACACCAGTTACTAGCTCCATGCTCCCAGTTTAATCCAGCTGGATGGCAGCTGTGTGCTTTCACCGGGCTGCGAGTGCTGGTTTGGACACCGTGCCTGACCTAAGTCTTGCTTCTTTGTCATTAGCTTTTTTATTTAGTTTTTCAGTTAACACTTTGCAGCAACCAAATGCACTGTTTTGTCTGCAGAACTGAACTGTACAGGATTTTATGTGTTTGTATCTGTCCACTTGTTTCATCAAACATATTTGCATCACTCGAGGTATAGGACAGTGTAGCCAGCTTCCATCACTCTTCAGACTAATTCCCTAAAGCTGACTTATTGACAAACAGATAAGGGAAATCTGGGAAAAGGATTTGGACTTGTTTGGTACGGCAGCTACATTGCTTATTTCTTAACACAGGCAAACACAACGCTCTTGGAACACCACTAAAAGGCAAAATAATTAAACGTGACAACACCTGGCAAACACAGGTATGGTACGCCTCTGACACCGCTGCTGTGTTCCTGATCGCTTGCGAGAAGCAACAAATATCTACCAGCAGAGCAAGGATTCCTACCTGCTTCACGTACACAAATGACAAAACTGAAGATGTTAAACATTTAAGTGGCATTTTAATTCCTTTGTGCCATGCTACCTTTCCATTGATTTTTTCCTGAAGCTCTTTCTGCTTCTGCTTATCAGCCTCTTCATCCAAGCGAGATCTACACGTCATGGATAACTTTTTAATGAGTCGTTCCATCTCTCTGCGCTGCTCCTGCCGCTGTTCAGTTTCCAGTTGTTTAAATCTTCGCCAGTCATTAATGACTCCTTTGGGACCTGAAATTAAATATACAGGCATTTGGTATAAAGGGCAATAAAACTACACCTATCATTTAAAATCCAAGTAATAATTCATAAGTCAGCAGTAAAATAGTGGCTTTGGTATCCTGTGCAAAATGTTGAAACAAAAGAAGTAACTTGCCATTGACATGCCCTTGAGCTTGTGTTTGGTTTTTTGTCTAAGCAGACTGAAGCTTATCTAACTAGGCTACTCTCACAATTGTACCAAAGATTACCATCTGTGCTCTTGAAACAGAACCCCCAGCCCTCAGGAAT